CTGTATACACAAGGCCCACTATATGCCCAATACACAGAACAATGAAGTTTAATACAGGAACACTGGTCGACGTCCACGAACAACGGCCCACGAGCACTCTAGCACTGGTCGACACCAAGGAGCACTCTAGCACTTCGGGCCGTTCCTCCTTGGTGTCTTGATAAGGGGTCCACCAAGTGTGAGTGTCAAACATCCAACTATCAAGGATTTCGGGTGTAAGAGTGGTCATGATTGTAGTGTAACTGCCATCCCCATTTTTATTCTGGCAACTGTGAAACCTGCCGCCCGCTAGGATATCGTTGTCAGCCCAATGCGATGGCGGGAAAGTGGCTTTTGGGGTGGTCCGTTGACGAAATGGAGTCACATGTTGCTGTCCCGTCCAGACTCCCGACACCTCGAACCTCTGGTGGATCAACACAGCAAATCTACGAAAGAATTGGTTTACAACTACCCTGGCACTCATCCTCAAACAAGGGCGTAATGTTTTCATGGGGCTGCTGCAGACGACTTTTACTCTTTTTTTTTTTTTTTTTACATGACAAGTCGCCTTAGACCGCAGTCAGGTCCAGGATTGTGAGCTTCTGTAGACCAAAGCCTTAGAGCGTGTTACCTTCCCTACTTTTTGGTGGCTGGTCGAGGCAACCGAGCGATAGTCGAGACAACCAGCCAGATTCACCGTACATTACCAAGATGGGTTCAAAACTTAACGCATAAAACCGAAGTGTTTTCAAACTCAAAATTGAGGCAACCGTACACGCTCTTATTAGTACTGTACAGCACTGTTGCAAAGTCGAAGTCGAGGTGAACGAACATTGGCTTCCCCTTCCTTGCTGCAGTGAACGGAGTCGAGAGTCTGTTTGCTGTTACCGCCCATCCTTCGATTCGCTTCAAGCACACTAACGACGTGGACAACCACCTGCTGCAGTTACGGTGTGTCTCGTTCACCAATCGTTCCCGCCTCGGATGGTGGTGGTGGTGGAGGAAGAGCGATCATCTTTGCCACTCATCTCTCAGATGGGCTGTCTGCTGTAAACTGAGTTGCAACCCTACCTTGTCGCTCACTGATTCTTTCCATCTCAAAACACTAACACCCCTCCAGTAATCTGTTAGTATGGATTCTGCCATTCCAGAAAATCCAACAGCTGTCAAAGGCGCGCTCGCCATGGCTTGTCATGATATATCATGAATATAAGCAGTCACCGCCTTAACTTTCTGCCTTGGCATGTCATTTCCTGACAATACGCACTATGACATGCTTGTAACCGTTGTTCCCGATATTGTTCCAGAAGCAGTTTTGAGGGGTTTTCGACTCGCAGACTGGCCACACGAGGATTTTTTGCGGAATCGATCAATCCCGTTGAATTTTTAGTTCAAGATTAACAGATTGCGACCCACCAGATGCGTCATGCAGAAATTGGTACCGCCCAACCTGAGCTGAGCGAGTTAAAACAGTCGGATTCTGTGTCATCACTGAACGTGTTCCTATAACTTATAGCAGCGGGAAGCGGGAAGCTTTGATGTCGCGCAAAACAAAAAAATTGGATGGATGAGCTTCGTGTGATATTCGAGCAAGTCAGCAGAAGCGTGGTTACAAAGGAGGCCTGAAAAAATCGGAGGAAAGTGACCAACAGCTGAAGGTGGATCTTCCTTCAGAAATTGCCGTTCACAGGTCAGACCAGAAAAACAGCACTACTAAACAATCGCGTTTCTTACTCTTGAGTGTGTCGATTTCATCATGTCACGCTATTACATATCCAGGACTTGCAAATGGTGCAGATCTGTTCTTGACAGCACTACTGCTACCTCAGCCTAAGTACGAGCAGTGCATCATAAAAAAAATCTGCACGTCACGTGGTAACATCTAGAATACATCTTGAAACCCCGTTCTTGAAATCTGCACGGCAGTACTCTAAGAAATGAACCTCCTTTTCCCTTCTTGACATCTCCTTTTCACGTGCTTCAGGTTGGCAAGACGGCGCCTCAGGTCTCCTAATGCGGGGGAGAGTCAACCTTCAGTTTTTTCGAAGCTCATCTCACTGGACCCAGCATCTCTAGTACTACCAGGAGCCTGCAGTGACTCTGTCTCTGTCAGCATTTGATTTCTGAGTCACTACTGGCACAGGCGTCAGGTGACTTGCTACTGCCACACAACAGATCGTTGAGTCTAAACGACCATCCGACGTTGACCATATGCTGTCTCATTAGGCAAGCTATAAAAGCCAAAAGCTGTCGCAGCACCCTTGCCATTCCCCGCTTCCTTTACCACACATATTGTTCTTGAGTCGACTCGCAAACAAGCCCGTTCTTGAGTTGTCTCCTCGCCTGGATGCTCTCTGTCTCCTCGCCTTCTTGAGTGGAGTGGGCCCCACTGGGTACTTATTAGCACTAGTATGGCCTCCTCCTCTCACTCCTCTCTCACACCAATGGCTTCCTTGCCTGAAGACCGTCCTTCCCTTAGCGCCATGGCCGTTGCACATCATAATCCATACAGCGATCCCACACGAACCACTTTTATCACAACCCCGGCACACCCGAGCATATCTAGTACTACTCCACCGCTCTCCACCACTCCGGTTGGCGTTTCCTTCAGCAGCCCTACTGTGCTCTCGGCCTTCTTGGGGTCTCTTAACCCAGCAGCTGACCGCACAAGACAAATTCCTGCAGGCTTGGGAGGCAGCGATCTTCTGATTGGAAATGATTCTTCCGTGCAAGTGCCGCAAGAAGGGTTTGGATCTGTCGCTGGTAAGGACTCTGATAGAGGGAGAGGGCCTGGAGGCATGGTTGCCGCAACGGCTGAGATCAGTGGCGCTACTACGCCCTTGGCTGGTCCCAGAGTAGGTGAATCTGATGGTGAGAGGAGGGGTGGGTCTCACGGAGCGAGTGTGAGCATGACCCAAGAGGCTATGGTCCAGCTTTTGGGATTTCTACAGCGGCAGCAGCGGCAACAGCAGCAGCAGCAGCAGCAGCAGCAGCAGCAGCAGCAGCAGCAGCAGCAGCAGCAGCAGCAGCAGCAGCAGCAGCAGCAGCAGCAGCAGCAGCAGCAGCAGCAGCAGCAACAGCAGCAAACTGAAAGGCCAGCAGCTCAACAACCAGCAGCATTCTTTCCGCAGCATGGAACGGTCACCCCGCCTGCTTCTTCACCCCCTGTTTCATCCCCGCAGCCTATGCCATTTCCGCGTGAACCTTCACCTCAGCTCTCCATGGGACTTTCGTTACCACGACACACGCAGCAAGGAAGAACGCACCCTGCGGACCCGTGCCCACGCCCAGCTCTAGTCGTATCCCCGATCGGTACCTCATCTCATGGGCAATTTCCAGCACCCACACCAGCTTTTTTTCCCCAACCATTCGCATCCGCGTGGCAAGTTACTGGCCAGCCCACTGGCCAGGCCCTTGCTGCTGCTTCTTCGCCTGTGTCTGTCTCATCACTGCGGCTTTCCCAGTCTTCTCATGCTCAATCCTTCTCGACGACGTTTCCCACGGTTTTGGCTCCACCTCCACCTGCTGTATTGGATGAGGGGTCTTCTGCTGTGGTTTCGTGGCAAATGCAGCTGCAGCGTCTGAGGCAGCAGCAGCAGCAGCAGCTCCATCCGGAGAAGAAGCAGCAACAAAGACAGGAGCAACATTTGTGGCAGAAGGACCACCAGGAGCAACAACAGCATCAGCAGAGGGAGCAGCAACAGCAACGACATCAACTGCAGCAGCAACAGCAGCAGCAACAGGAGTGGAGGCTGCAGAAAAAACAGCAGGAGCAACAGGCGTGGCAGCAGAGGCAGGATCAGGAGCGACAACAGCATCAGCGGTGGGAGCAGCAACACCAGACCCGAAAGCAGGATCAACACCAGACCCGAAAGCAGGATCAACACCAGCAACAACATCAACTGCAGCAGCAGCATGGGCAACAACAGCAACAGGAGCGGCGGCAGCAGGAACAGCAGGAGCAACAACAGCAACAACAGAAATTGCAGCAGCAGCAGCAGCAAGAGCAACAACAGCAACAACAGGAACTGAAGCAGCAACAGCAACACCAGCAGCAAAGGATCGTAGCTGCTATTATAATGATGACTGCTGGAGCACACTCAGAAGCCTCAGGGGGGACTGGATTGCCAAGTATAGCAGCTTTGCCAAATATAGACGTTTATCGGGGAGTTCCCGCAAGTGCAGCAAGAGTAGCAGACTCTGGTGCAGGAGCAGCAGCTTTACCTGCCCTGCCTGCTCCGGGACCACAGCTTATGAGCAAAGGGATGAGTGGATCGGGTACGGACGGGGTAGAGGCACCTTCTTTGCCAAATCTGGCTTCTTTTCTAAAAATAGTGGGGCGTGGAGGGGGTGGAGCAGGGGCAGAAGGCAGAGAGGAGTCAGCCGGTGGGTTGTTGAGAGGGGTGGTGCCTTTTGAGGGAAACATGGTAAGTGGAAGTGGCTGTGAAAGGGATGTTGGACGAGGGAGAGGAGGAATAGGAGGAGCAGGAGGAATGGAAAGAACCAGAGAAATGATATCTTCAGCAGATCTGGGGGAAAATGCGGCAGGATCGGCAAGGATTCGAGAAGCCGAAGGTGGAAGCGATGGTATCAGCGTCTCGGATATCCTCAACTCCCAGCCCTCTATTTCTCCATCTTACAGACCTGTCAGAACTCCAAGGGTTCAGAACAGAAACTCAAGCACAAGCTTAGCGACTGTTGCAGAAGATAGAGAGGGGGGCGCCCTTTTTGCAGCAGTGGGACCTGCCCTGGGAAGCAGGAGAGATGCATGCAGCGGTGTGAAACATGGGTCGCTCAAGCATGAAAGCACGAGCATACACCAAGAGAATCTTGACCTCTCCTTGTCCCTGTCCCTATCTCCTGCTCCTCGTGCTGCTGCTACTGCTGCTGCTGATGCTGCTTTTCCTGCTCCTGATGGTACTGCTGTTACTGCTTCCCGTGGTGCTGTTTATCCTGCCTCTAATGGCTCACCTGCAGCTCGATATACCTCTACGGCTGACAAACAGGCGGAAATTCATCTTATGAGAGTAAGTGCGGCACCTAGTTTTGAGGCGGCTCAAATCTCAGAGGCTGATCAGAAGGCGGGGATTTCTCAAACGGGGGTTTGTAGGGCTGAGGTTGGGGCGCGTGAGATGCAGATGGGCCTTGTGCGGTTTGATGCGGTAGGAAGGGAGGAGGGCTGCATGGGGGAGTCAGGACGATGGGGAAGACGAGGAGAAGGGGTGAAGGGAGGAGGAGGTGGTGAGTGGGGAAGTAGAGGAGGAGGAGGAGGAGGAGGAGGAGGAGGAGGAGGAGGAGGAGGAGGAGGAGGAGGAGGAGGAGGAGGAGGAGGAGGAGGAGGAGGAGGAGGTGGAGGTGGAGGTGGAGGAGGAGGAGGAGGAGGAGGAGGAGGAGGAGGAGGAGGAGGAGGAGGAGGAGGAGGAGGAGGAGGAGGAGGAGGAGGAGGAGGAGGAGGAAGAGGGGGAGGAGGAGGAGGAGTAGGAGTAGGAAGAGTAGGAAGATTAGAAGGAAAATCACAAGGAGGAGTAAAAGGTGGTTCTGTTGAGACAGCAGCAAGGCCAATAGGAAGTGAAACCAGGACCGGAGCAGAACATTTCCGCACGCGATCAGGCGGCCCTCCTGGTACTTCCATGCATGCTCATGCATGTATGACTTCACGTTCCTTTATGTCTTCAAGTTCTCACGCTCATCCGCCTTCAGTAGTTGCACCCAGTTCCTCTGCTGCTGCTCCCACTGCTGCAGCTTTCACTCCTGCTGCTGTTCCCACCGCTGCTTTTGCTACTTCTGGTGCTCCTGCCTCTGCTGATTTTTCTCTTGCTGCTGCTCTTAACACTGCTGCCATTTCTCCTGCTAGTGCACCTGTTGCAGCAGCTGCTGCTGCAACCACTCTGGCTGCTCCTCCTCCTCCTCTCTCCCCTGCCATTGGCCCTCCTCCTGATCGCTCTGCCTCTGCCGCTGCCATGACATCAGCAGTTGCGGCTGGCCCCCTCCTTGCAGCGCTCCTCTCCTATCAAGCATCCCATCTGAACAGCATCAGCTCACCGCAAATTTCCTCTCAAGCTTCTCATCGTTTCAACTCAGAGTGCAAGCCTGCTGCTGCTGCTGCTGGAGGTGGTAGTGGTGGTGGTGGTGGTGGTGGTGCTGCTGCTGCTGCTGCTGCTGCTGCTGCTGCTGCTGGTGCTGCTGCTGGTGCTGCTGCTGCTGCTGCTGCTGCTGCTGCTGCTGGTTCTGCTGCTGCTGCTGCTGCTGCTTCTGGTGCTGCTCCTTCTGCCGGTAGTGATGGTGGCGGTGTTGGTCCCTTTCTGGCGAATCACCAAGCACCTCACCTTCTCAGCGCACAGTTTGCACTTGCTTCTGCTGGTGGTGTTTGCTCTGCCCCTTTTGCTGATGTTGTTGGTGGTGGCAGCGGCGGCAGTGCTATTTCAATTCTGACTAACCACCAAGCACCTCATCGGCTTAACACACAACATTCACTCGCTGCTGCTGCTGCTGCTGCTGCTAATCGTACTGCTGGCAACGGTGGTGGTGGTGCTGGTAGTGGTGGTGGTGGTGGTGGTGGTGGTGCTGCTGCTGCTGCTAATCGTAATGCTGGTAACGGTGGTGGTGGTGGTGGTGCTGGTTGTGGTGCTGGTGCTGCTGCTGGTGGTGGTACTGCTGCTGCTGCTGCTGCTGCTGCTGCTGCTGCTGCTGTTACTGCTGCTGTTGCTGCTGCTGCTGCTGCTGCTGGTGGTGCTGCTTCTTTTTCAAAAGAAGTTTGGGGAAGCAAGGAGGGAAGGCAGGTCAAATTGGAGCAGATGGGTGATGTGGTAAGCAGGGGAGAGGGGGGATTTGTGGAGCATTCCAGGCTGGATGGTCAAGCGAGAGGGGTTTGGGGAAACAGCAGGGAAGAGATAGGTAAGAAGAGAGGGAGAAAGGAAGAGGAGATGGAGGAGGACGACGAGGACGAGGAATTTGAGCTAAATTGTAAATTCCTGCCAATGCGAGTAGTCCTGGGAGCAGCAGGTGCAAGGGAGTCATTTGGAGGAGGAATGGCAGTGAGAGATGGTGGTATGAGGATGGATGGTGGTATGAGGGGGGATGGTGGTATGAGGGGGGACGGTGGCAGTGGGAGTGGTGGTGGGGGGCATGGTGGGGGAGGGGATGATAGTAGGAGTGGTGGTGGGGATGGTGGTGAGAATGATGGTGCGAATGGTGGAGGGGTAGGCGGTGGTAGGGTTGTTAGCAGTGGGAGTGGGCATAGTAGCGGGTACAGCAGAGCAGGCTCAGGAAGGCGGAAAACAGCAAAGACAAGTAAGGCAGATCTGGCCGCACCTGCAACCACTGCAACAGGCGTTGCTGGAAGCATGCGGATCGCCTCAGATCATGGCGAATTGAGCAGCAGAGGTGCACCCGTTGATGCTTCGTCTAATCAACCCACTAGTGCTAACGCTGCCCCGTCTTATCTGCCGGCCGGGAAGCGAGCAAAAAAGGACAAAAACAGGTACCGTGGCGTGCGGCAGCGGCACTGCGGGAAGTGGGTGGCTGAGATCCGATTTCCTAAGAAGAAATCCCGCGTGTGGCTCGGAACGTTCACCTGCCCGGAAGACGCTGCCCGAGCGTACGATCGGGCAGCTGTGAAACTTCGTGGGCCCCGAGCGTTGACGAATTTTCCAGATGAGTATGAGAATTGGCAAAATGGGGTGGGAGATGACTTGTTGAGGTTTAATGGGGAGGAAGGAGTGGAGAAGGAGGAAATGGGGAAGGATGAGGTGGGGTTTAAGGCGGGAAGTGCAGCAGAGAGAGGGGAGGGAGGCAGCAAAGGGGAGATGTATACGGTTAGAGAAGGTGAGGATGAGGGGAGGGGAGCGGAAAGCAGTAAGCAGCAGATGGGGAAAAGGGCGAGGAGCAAGGGTGGAGGAAAAAATGAGGGAGGGGAGGAAGAGAAGTTGGACGTGAGTGGAAAAGGCTGTGCAGAGTGGAAGGCAGATGGCAGGGACAAGTGAAAAGTACGGGGGAGCAGGGCTATAGGGAGATGATCCTAACCACTTCAGAGTGCATCGTTTCAACTCAGTGCAAGCTTGCTCCTGCTGCTGCTGGTGGTGGTGGTAGTGGTGGTGCTTATGCTTCTGCTGCTGCTATTGCTGGTGCTGCTGCTGTTGCTCCTGCTATTGATGGTGCTGCTGCTGCTGCTGCTCCTGCTGCTGGTAGTGATGGTGGTGCTGTTGGTCTCTTTCTGGCCAATCACCAAGCACCTCACCTTATCAACGCACAGCTTGCACTTGCTTCTGCTGGTGGTGCTGCTGGTGCTGCTGCTGCTGCTCCTGCCACCGGTGGTGCTTCTGCTGTTGGTGCTGCTGCTGCTCCTCCTGCCACCAGTGGTGCTTCTGCTGTTGGTGCTTCTGCTGGTGGTGCTGCAGTCCCTTTTGCTGATGCTGTTGTTGTTGGTGGTGGCGGCAGCAGCGACGGCTGCTGTGCTGTTTCATTTCTGGCGAATCACCAAGCAACCCATCGGCTCAACACACAACATTCACCGGCTGCTGCTGCTGCTGCGGCTATTTGTACTGCTGTCGACGGTGGTGATGGTGCTGGTCCTGCTGCTGCTGCTGCTGCTGCTGCTGCTGCTGCTGCTGCTGCTGCTGCTGCTGCTGCTGCTGCTGCTGCTGCTGCTGCTGCTGCTGCTGCTGCTGCTGCTGCTGCTGCTGCTGCTGCTGCTGCTGGCGCTGCTTGTTTAACAGAAGAAGTAAGGGGAAGCAAGAAGGCAAGGCAGGTCAAATTGGAAGAGATGGGTGATGCAGTAAGCAGAGAGGGGAGACCTGAGCGTTTTAGGCTGGATGGCGAACTGGGAGGGGTTTGGGGAAAAAGCAAGGAAGAGAGAGGTAAGAAGAGAGGGAGAAAGGAAGAGGAGAAGGTGAGGAAGACGAGGACGAAGAGGAAGACGAGGAGGAATTTGAGCTAAAAAAAAATATTCCTGCCAATGCGAGTAGTCCTGGGAGCAACAGGTGCAAGGGAGGCATTTGGAGGAGGAATGGCAGCGAGAGATGGTGGTATGAGGAGGGATGGTGGTATGAGGGGGGACAGTGTGTGAGGGGGGACGGTGGTATGAGGGGGGACGGTGGCAGTGGGAGTGGTGGTGGAGGGCATGGTGGGGGAGGGGATGATGGTAAGAGTGGTGGTTGGAATGTTGGGGGTAATGGTGGAGGGGAAGGCGGTGGTAGGGTTGTTAGCAGTGGGAGTGGGCATAGCAGCGGGTGCAGCAGAGCAGTCTGGGGTGCCAGAGGCAGGCGGAAAACAGCAAAGACACGTAAAGCAGAGGTGCTGCTGCAGAGATACGCCTACAATAGCAGCCAGAGATGCTGCTGCAGCAGTGCGGATCCCCCGTGATGGTGGTGAAGCGAGAAGCAGAGGTGCACCTCTTGATGCGTCCTCTAATCCAACCACAAGTGCCATCACAGTTCCGCCTTTTCTGTCCACTATGGCGGCCGGCAGACAAGCAAGGAAAGACAAAAACAGGTACCGGGGGGTGCGGCAGCGGCACTGCAGGAAGTGGGTGGCAGAGATCCGATTTCCCAAGAAGAACTCCCGTGTGTGGCTTGGAACGCTCACCTGTCCGGAAGAGGCTGCCCGAGCGCATGATCGGGCGGCGGTGAAACTTCGTGGGCCCTGAGCATTGACGAATTTCCCGGATGAGTATGAGAATTGGCGGAATGGGGCAGAAGATGACTTGTTGGGGTTTAAGGGGGAGGAAGGAGTGGAGAAGGGGGAGACGGGGGAAGAGGATGAGGTGGGGTTTATGGGGGGGAGTGAGGCAGAGGGAGGGGAAGGAAGGAGGAAAGCGGGGATGGATATGACTGGAGAGGGTGAGGGGGGAGGGGGATGGAAGGCAGAAGGCATCACACGAGGGGAAGTGCGAGGAGCAGGGCTGAAGGGACAAGGGAGAGAGAGAAGGGAGGACATAGATGTGATTGATAAGGGGCATGTGGAGAAGCGGGATGAGTGCAAGGCAGAAGGCAGAAGCTGAGGGGTGAGTGGTTTTGAGGGGGTGGGGGAGGCTAGAAGTGGGGCTGATGGAAGAATGGGAAAAAGAGAAGGGAGGGGACACAAATGTGATTGTGAAGGTTGATGGGGAGAAAGGGGATGAATGATACGCAGGAGGCAGAAGCTGAGGGGGAAGGTTAGGAGCATGGCTGAAGGAAAATGGGATACAGGGGAGGGAGGGGACATAGATCTGATTGGGGAGGGTGATGGGCAGGGCCTATTTTTGGATTTTAGGTACTCTGATTTCCAGAGTAGTTTTTTTCCCAACTCTGAAATCTAGGGTTGTTCCTGCGCCTTACTCTGATTTGTCAGAGTAACCCTATCCTTTAAAACAAAAACCCAGGCACGTCAGAGTAGTATTTTTCTCTACTCTGATGTTAGTTAAGTTTGGTGTACCATGACCTCAATAGGTTTTTGTTACGCCTTTTGTACTTGCATTTCCGCGTCGCCCACGTTTCCCCCCTCACTGCGATGTTTCAGAGTGAGGTGTTGGCGGCACCGATAATCTGACTAAGGGCGTGTCCGAAGTGAAACGTCAATAGATGTCGCTGGATGTCGGTGAATGTCATCCCTCGGATCGACAGTTCCAACCGTCAGGATTTACCGACATCCCCAAACGGATGTCCACGGATGTCGACGTTTCACTTCGGACACTCCCAAAGAGCGTGTCTGAAGTGAAATGTCGACGGATGTACAGTTTCGTCGGGGAACGCTGGCGAATCTCAACCCTCGGATTGAGCGTTCCGACCGTCAGGATTCCTCGACGTCCCTCAAAGTTTTGTCGGGAAACGTCGACGTTCACTTCAGACATAAAGAGAAAGGGGACTGGCTGGCATCGTGCGCTGGTTGGGAAAGTTGTCAAACTACGGTAGCCAATCAGTGCTCATATTGCCGCTAACACACGACAGAAATCAGGAGAATGATCTCGACGATTCGGGGAAAACCCGCTAAACGCAGGGGGAGGTGGGGAGGGGAGGGGGGCGGGGGAGGGGGGGCCGGCAGGTATTCCCTATACAGAGTAAATTTGGTCCCCGAAAAAAAAACCCAGAGGCCTCAGAGTAAACTACAGCATAACTCTGGCAAATCAGAGAAATCGGAAGTCCCAAAAAAATTACCCAGCGGGTACAGAGTTACTTTCAAAAATGACTCTGATTTTCAGAGAAACAGAGTAATTTACTCTGAAAACGTGAGGCCTGGTGATGGGGAGAAAGGGGACGAGTGAAAGGCAAAATCCTCATTGCCAGTTACAATTCTGTCCTCAAACCTGCTGGAAGCAGAAGGAAGGAGTTTGAAGGGGGAGGGTAGGGAGAAGGGCTGAAGTTGAATTGTCACAAACACTTAGCATTCTGCCATTTGTGAGTAGACTCAAAAGTCGCCTCGTTGAAGAGGGAGGCCGAGAAGCAGGGCTGAAGTAGAATCGTCACTTGGACTCATCATTGCTGTTGAACCAGTTATCATTCTGCTGTCGAACCTGCTGCTGCTTCATCGTTGCCCATCGCTGAGACTGCTTGTGCAAGAGAACCGTGATATTGACACACTTGTCGGAAAAATGATCATGTGTTCTGGTGTTTCACTGGGGGATGGGCGTATTGAGAGATGCATGTGTGAGGTATCACTGGCTTGAGGTATCTTTTGTTGGAAACAATAAGTCCTAAGTGCGCTTCTGTCGTATCAAAAACCCAAGGCACCAAGCGAAGCAGTCCCAATCGGAGCATCGAGTCAACCTCGGAGGTTAGGGTAACCGCCTGGAGGTTACGAGAAAGTCAAAGGTCGCTGACCTTTGACTCGACAATTACAGCGCGACAGTTAAGGACACACAACTGACTCGCTACAGAGCAGTTGCCCGAGTCGCACTGTATCGAACCGCAACAGCAATACAGTTATCTACATATCTATTCGTATTCCCTGTACTCTTATATAAATCCCTGTATTTGCTTGTTTAATTCAATCAACTTTGCTCTCACACACCAGTGCAAGGTCGGTTCAAATTCTTCACTAAACGCTTCCGCTATTACAACTACTTCACCTAAAGTTATCCCTTGCAAAGATCCTAAGGGGCTATCTCAGCCCAACATGGTATGAGAGCTGACAAGGGAAACTCTACTCCTTTTTTCAAGATCATTACAAGACATGGCGACAAACAAGGAAAGGAGCTCCCCTAATGGCTCCTCGGGCACTACTCCTACTCCACCGCCAGCCTCTGGCCTGCAGACAGAAGAAGGCACGGCAACAAGACCAAGAGGAACGTCAACCGAAACCCCCATGAACCACCCTTCGGACTTTGACCAGAACATGATGGAGAAATTTTTCTCCTTCATGTCCTTCTACGAACAACACCAGCAGTCGGGACCTGCACAAACACACAACAGCAACAATGGAGCGACACCCATGAGTCTTGATGGGTCGTCATATGCGCGAGGAAACCAGCAGCAGCAACCTACCTTTGCTCCGTACGAGCGCGGGTCAATCAGCTTCGTGCCCCACCCGCAACCTTCACCCGGACAAGAAAGACCACTGGACGCACTTCAAGTTCAGTCGCAGTTTGCACACGTCTTAAAACTGCAAACGTCAAGACCCTTCGACGGCAAAGACTTCTTTACCTGGTCCTTTGAATTCGAGCTGATGATGGAGGGCGCGCAGATACTCGGCTTCTTCGACGGGTCCCTGCAGTATCCAGCCAACGGGACACAATATGAAAAGCAGCAGTATACGTATCAATCAATGATGGCGTATACAATCCTATTGAGGAACGTGACACCAACTCAGCAGCAGAACATTCGCTCTTACCGGACCTTCGGCAACTCGGCGGAGCTCGCGTACAGCCATCTGAAGAACCTGTATCAAGCAACAGACAGTGTAAACCAGAGCAGGTTAATGGCGCAGTTGACGACAGTTGAAATGAAACCAGGAGAAAAAGGACTGGCGTATATCAGCCGATGTCGCGAACTACGCGTCAAGCTGCTTCGATGCGGAGGGTCAATCTCTGAAGACGCCTTCGTGACAGTCATCATTGGTGGGCTTGGTCCTCAGTGGCGCGCCACCAAAGCCATTCTTCGAGCCCACGGAAGAATCTCTGAAGCTGCACTCTGCGCCGAAATACATGCCGAGCAACAAGATATGGACCTGCAGGAAGAACGACACAGGAAGAAAACGACAGTATCAGAGTTCGCATTCCACACTCAACGACGACACAGCAATTATAACAACCGACAGCAGCAACCGAAGATAGTACCTCCTTTCTGCCACATCTGCAAGACTTCAGGGCACCCGCGCACACACTGCCCGAATCGTCAGCAATCAACGGCATCACAGCGACAACTTCGACCTTCAAGCTCCCAAATGGCTTCAACACAAGCAAGTGCGACGACCACTATTCAAGCTTCAACGACTTCACAACCTGCACGAGGAGCAAGAAACATAATCAACTGCATGACGAAGATAACCGATTCGTGTACAACCGAATCACCACCACACTACTCACCGGAAGAAGAGCTTGACAACAGAACGCCTCGCCGTGAGCTACTCCAGCCGAATCCAACGTACGCCGCCATCGCTCAAAGTGAACCGTCCGGCCAAGACACCTGGTTCTTGGACAGTTGCTGCGGGCAACACATGTGCTCGTCCGGGCGTTTCGTACAACGCGAACATCGACTCCAACGGGAAGTAATCATCACGGTTGCCAACAACCAAAACCTGCGCACACGAAGACAAGGAGTGGTACAACTTCAGTCAAGAGAAACAAACGTCATACTGCACATGTCTAAGGTACTCATCGCTGAAGGACTCGGCTACAACTTACTGAGCGTTAGCCAGTTGATGGCGAAAGGAATTCATCTGGAAGCCGACAGCACGACCCAGGAGTTCAAGCTTTACCACGGGAGAGGCGGTCTCTACATCGGAAAAGCAGTGCTGAAGAACAACGTCTTCGTCCTCGACTTCGTTCCTGACCTCGGCACTGCAGACAGCGACGCCATCGTGAATTTCACTGATTGGACACACCCTCCGGATCTCGACCCCGACTTCAGCCCGGGAGGCTTCTGGTACTCGCACACCATTCCTGAAGCAGAACGAACACGAGCATTAGCAACAATTCGACAATCGGCAGCAGTAACAACATCGACATCAGCAGCAACAACATCGGCAGCAGTAACAACATCGGCAGCAGCAACAACATCAGCAGCAGCAGAAACAACGACACCAGTCACAGTCAACGAAGCACCACCAACACCCGCACAACAGCTGAATCCGACTCAACGTGAAGTCCACCGAAGCGCCAACCTCGTCGCCAGCTTTTACTCCAACTCCGACGCATATCAGCGTTCACCTGGACACCGCGCCTCTGAAGAGATCTGGCACGCACGAACAGGACATCCAAGCAACACGGTTTTGAATAACACGATAAGAGCAGGAGTCCTTGACAAAGATTCTCTACTTCTACCCGATGGCAGAGAACTCCAGAAGGCACGAGGGACTTGCCTTATATGTCCCGAAGCTGACTTACCTCATCGACCGTTTGCTTCACATCACAACCCGAGCGCTCCAGCGTACGCACCACTCGAAAAAGTCTACAGCGACATCCTCTACAATCGCGAACCAGGACAAGTCAACTACAACTACACCATCACCTTCATCGACGCCGCCACTCGATACGTCTGGCATCGCAACCTACCCAGCCGCGACATGGCACTCGCAGCATTCGCCGCCTGGCTACCGATAGCAGAGAGAGAGTCTGGAACACAACTAAAAAATTTTCAGTCAGACGGAGGTGGCGAGTACACCTCTCACCGCTTCAAGCAGTTCTTGGCGGAAAGGGGGATCAAGCAACTCCTCTCCCTTCCCTACGCACATCAGCAGCAAGGTGTTGCAGAACGACTGAACAGGACCCTGCAGAACAGCATGCGCAAACTGTTACGTGGCATGCGGCTACCCAACCACCAGTGGCCAGCAGCAATGGACCACGCTGTCATGCTGCACAACTTGTTGTCGTCGTCGTCACTCCCGAACAACGCATCACCGCATCTGCTGTGGACAGGGAAGCAGGGCAGCACGAAAATGTTACGAGTTTTCGGGTGCATGGTACAGTACAGACCCCCAGAAGCACGAGCGGGAAGATTTTCGCAACGGGCACAGTGGGGACTACACCTCGG